GAGGATCTGCCCATCCTGCCCTCCTGGTGGGGCTGGAAGCAGCTGGGTTGGGAGCTGGTCACCGGTCCATCCCAGCTCCATGCCGGGATGCCGGCTGCATCCCGGTGCCGACCGTCCTCTCTCCCGCAGATAAAGTGGGGCTGCAGATGGATGCCGTGGGGGTGTTCACCTCGCTGGGGCTCAACGAGAGGCTCTTTGCCGTGAGCGTGGAGGAGCTGTGTGGCCTGGTGAGCGCAGGGTGGGTTGGACGGGCAGCCCAACACAGGGGAGACCAGGGCTGGGCACGACCAGGGAAGGATGGAGCTGCGGGCAGGGCTGTCCGTGAGATGGGGTTTGTGCCCAGGGCGAGAGGTTCCTCCATCCCGCAGAGCCATCCTGGTCTTCCCTCTTGCTAACAGCAGGGCGGGATGGGTGTCCCCTCTCCCATGCGCAGATCCCCCATCCCGAGCAGCTGGGTCCCAGCACCGGCTCCTCTGAAACCCTGGACCTCATCAGCTCCAAGGACCTGGCCAGCCACCTCACGGACTATGACTGGAACCTCTTCAAGAGCATCCACCAGGTAGGGTCAACGCAGGGTCCGGGGAAACCCCCCCTGCACCCCTCGCCCTGATCTGCATCCCGGGATGCCCACCCGGCGCTTTATCCCTCTCCAACGGCGTTGGGCTCTGCAGGTGGAGATGATCCACTACATCGTGAGGCCGCAGAAGTTTCACGACGTGACCACGGCCAACCTGGAGCGCGTGATGCGGCGCTTCAACGAGCTGCAGTACTGGGTGGCCACGGAGCTGTGCCTCTGCCCCGAGGTGGGCCGGCGAGCCCAGCTCCTCCGCAAGTTCATCAAGTTGGCTGCACAGTGGGTACCTGCGCGGGCAATCGGGTCCCTCTCCGCGTGCTCCGGCTGACTCTGCCCTCGCTTGCAGCCTCAAGGAGCAGAAGAACCTGAATTCCTTCTTTGCGGTGATGTTTGGTGTGAGCAACACGGCCGTGAGCCGCCTCGCCAAGACCTGGGAGGTGAGGAGCCACCAGAGCCCTCCCGTGGGCTCGTGGTGGCCCCGCGGAGCCTCCCAAGGAGGGGCAGATCCATGTCCTCTGGCCTGACCAAGGGCTGAGGGCAATGGCCTGGCCAGGCTGCTGGGGGCCAAGCTGACCCCACACCCCAAAATCCCAAAGTGGGAGATCTGCTAATGCCGGGAGTGTCTTTCCCGGTTTCCCACCTAACAGAGGGGTAGGATCAGAGCAGACATTCGAATCAGCCCAGTGCCCAAATCCCATGAACCTTCATGGAAACCCTCACCAAATCTACCCCTCCTAATAAGCGCCCGGAGCAAGGGGTGTCACAGAACCAAACCCCAGAGATGGGGAATACAGGGCGTGTAAACCAGGAGATCCCTGGAGACGTGAAGGGCATCACGCTGCATCCCAGCCTTCGTGCTGGTGATGCCCAGGCGAAACCTTAGCCAGATGCTGCCACCACCGATGTGCCGTGAGCTTGCGGCAGCCGCGGCTCTGGAAGGGACACGGTGCTGGTGACACTCTGGTGACACTCTCTGCACAGAGGCTGCCCCACAAGATCCGGAAGCTGCACTCGGCGCTGGAGCGGATGCTGGTGAGCACGACCCCCTTCCTGCCCACGTCATTCCCACCTGGAGGATGAGCCGGAGCAGGGATGCTCCCATGCGCATCAGGATGGGGTCGTGGGTGCATAAGAAAGGGGAAGGTCACCCCCATCTCCCTGCATTTGCCGGGGCTCCCTCCTGCCCTCAGTGCCCAAAAACACACCGGGTCACGGGGACAGGGACAGTGCCACCTTCTCCCCCGAGCTCTGACACATGCGGGTTCAGGACATCGAAGGGCTCCTCTCCTGCGCATCTCCCTCCTCGGAAGCATTTTGTGTCTCTGGCTGCCCCATGCTGAAATCTGGTTCTGTCCCCAGGACCCCTCGTGGAACCACAGGGTCTACCGGCTGGCCGTCGCCAAGCTGAGCCCCCCCATCATCCCCTTCGTGCCCCTTCTCCTCAAAGGTAGGTGACTCGGCACCTGCCAAAGGGAACCCTTCACCTGCATCCAAGAGGTTCCTCATCCTCATCTGGGACCCCAAGACATAGCCAGGGAGCTGGTGCTCATGCCGTGAGGTCCTCTTGCAAAACACAGCTTGTGTGGGGCACTGCCTGGCCCCAGGACTCAGAGGACTGAGGCCTTGGCCCCACCACTGCTTGCCCTTTGCAAGATGAAAGCTGGGGCAACGCACGGTGCCTTGAAGCCAAGCCCCGGTCTCAGTCTGATCCCAAGATTTCACCCGCAGATATGACGTTCATCCACGAGGGCAACCGCACATTGGCCGAGAATCTCATCAACTTTGAGAAGATGGTGAGTGAGGCAGCGTTGCTGCCCCATGGAAGGGCAGCTCCCATCACCTCCACCCTCTGGGGGCCTTGGGATCTGCCTGTCACCCCGTGTGTGGGACGTGCCCCCTGCACAGCCTCCGCTGGAGGCAGGTGAAGAGCATCCACGTGGCCTTAGTGCAGCTCTCCAAGAGTCCCCTTGGAGCTCTTGGAGCGTGTCAGGAGCAGCCAGGACTGGCTTCCAGCTGCTGTCCTTCGCAGAGGGCATGAGGCAGCCACATCCGCTACCAAAGCCAGAGGGGACCGTGTCTCACCAGCCTGGGAGCAGAATGGTGGATGTGGCAGCAAGTGACCCTTGTGCATTGCCCACAGCACATGATGGCTAAGACTGTACGTGTCCTGCAGCGCTGCCAGGGACACGCGCACGGTGAGCGCTCGCCCAAGGGCTCAGGTTGGGCTGGCGTCACCCACGGGTGGCTTTGGGGACACTGCTAAGCTCCTGGTCTCTCTCTCCACCTAGCCCCACTCTCCCCACTGCGGAGTCGCTCCCCACACCGCCTGGAGGACCCCAAGGCCATGAGGATCTCCACGTGTACGGCTTGAGCTTGCGGAGCCGCTCGGAACCCTGCGCTCCCACCCAGGGGCTCCGCGTGGGGAACACGTGTCCTTGCGTGGTGCAGTCCCTTGGGGACACCATAGGGACATCAGCCTCGTTGCAAGGGGAGGAAGCTGAGCTGGGCACTTTGGGGATCCAGGGATGGAGGCTGAGCTCCCTCTCCCTGCCATGTTGAGCAGTGTGAGCCTGTGTCCCACGTTCTCCTGGATGGAGACTCCAGGCTGCTCCCTGTTGTGCTGAAGGGAGAATCCGGCTGTGATTCCCGCCTGCCTGCGTGCCCTAACCGTGCCGTACGGCTCTAGCCATAGGCAGCAGCCGGGTGCATCGCTTCGTCCTGGGGTACAAGGCTGTTCGTATTCCTACCCCTATTCCCCAGAAGTGATGGAGGGGGTTCAATGAGCCACTCCAGAGGCAACGGAGGAGGCTAGAGGTGACAGAGAGGGATGGATGAGCTGAGCCAAAGGCGTCGGAGGGGATCTGCAAGCTGAGCCCGAGGGGATGCAACGGGATGGGGTGAACCCAGCTGGAGGGGATGGAGGCGGATGGATGGGTCAAGTCAGAAGCGACGGATGCAGCTTGTGAGCAGAGGCAGAGCTGCCGGAGGAGGCTGGTGAGCAGAGCTGGTGCTGCTGAAGGAGGAGCCCAGCCAGAGGCATCAGCCCAGCTTTGGTTCCATCTCTCTTGCAGGCTCCGAGCAGTCCCTGAGCGTGCGGAGCCCTGTCTCCACCTGGGCCTACCTGCAGCACCTTAAAGCCATCGACAGCCAGAAGGAGCTGCTGCGGCTCTCGCGAGGCCTG